CTCTCTCTCTCTCTCTCTCTCTCTCTCTCTCTCTCTCTCAGACACATTAAGCCTCTTTGTCAAGGAAAAAATCTGCGACACCCCCAATCACTCCTATGATTGATAAAAAAAGCCTATGAACAAGAAGTGATTCCAAGGGACAGACATTTTTAACTATGGGTTATAATTTTTTAGTTTCATAGAAGATAATAAGATAAAAAGAATAGAGAATATATATATTTATTTATAATTTTTTAATGAAATATTCCTCTAGATTAAGGGCTTGAATCCATGATGAATAAATATATTTGAATGATGTACTAAGAATTTGAATTCTTATTAGATATATTTGCATAGTGTATTTTTCATCTTACTGAGGTTGATAAGTATCTTTAGATTTTGGAAGCAAGTGACAAAAATCATATTATGAAAAAGACTCCTTACCAACAACAACAAAAAGAAAAATCTAAAACTTAAGATTTATTTATTCTATTAAACATCTCATATATTTTTAAGTTTTACTAAGAAAATAAGGTGAAAAGATATTTTGGGCATCTCTGGTTTTTTCTCTAGTTGGTTCACTGATAATTGTAAAAGAAACAAAAAATTTAAGATCTACATGAGAGGACATGCAACAGGAGTCAACTTTAACTCAATATATTTTTAATTAATTTTATTTGATAGATAATTAATTTTATATAATTTTTATTTTCAGAATAAAAAAAAAAACAAAAGAGAGACAGAGAGAGAGAAGACAGAGTACTAAAACCACAATCTTGTAGTACAAAGCCACAATATCAAAACAGAGTGGGGCAAAATTCCCCCTGCATCAATGCCATGGCAGAACAACAAAACACAATACAAGCACTGTACTCAACGAAGAAGACCATCACATTTCAGTCACAGCACAACTACAGCAACCCATCTCCACTTCTCCTGATGGCATGCACCGCACAGCACAGCACAGCTTCGAGAGGTTTCCTCAAGCTTGACCGCCTTCAGTTGTGCTTCATCCCCATCTTCTTCACCTCGACCTTGAGAGATTTCAGGTACTTCACGGCTTCGTCAAGAACAGCAGGTGTGTCCATGCCGTCGCCGCCGGGCACGATTCCCTTCAGCGTCTTTACCATCTTCTTCATCTTCTCCTTTTTGGACGGCGACCTCCCCGTGCTGACCACCTCATCTTCCTCACCTTCTTCGGAACTCAGCAATGCGTCGATGTCCTCCGCCTCCTCCTCGTCGTTGCCGTACCCGCTCTTGCCGGCCTCGTGGGCGTTAGCTCCGTAGGCATCGAAGCTGGGCGAGCCGAGCTTGTGGGCCAGCCAAGGGTGGAACATGACCCGGCTCTGCTGATGTGTCTGGTCGAAGATGACCATGTTCTTGGGGCACGTCTCCGACGGCTGGAACTGGATGTTGTTGAGCGGCCCAGGGAATCCATGGGGCTCGTGCCCTGCAACAGGCGCACCTGCAGTGGAGTCATATGCATCCTCCGAAGGAGCCTTCTTTCCACCAAAGTATCTCGTGTTCCTCTTCATACTCCACTGCCGTCGTCGTCGATCGTGGGTGGTGGTGGTGTTCACTGATGAGTTAGGAATTTGACAGACGAAGAAGAAGAAGAAGAAGAAAGCAGCAGTCTCCACCTACGTTACGGGCTTAAGCAGCTGACGGAAGTACTCAGCCTACAAAGGAAACGATTACAAGAGTATTTGATTCATCTGCTCCAATTCTATCCCTGATTGGGAGTTTTGTTGCAGAGAGAATGAAACATAAGATGATGATGACGATGTACCTGACAAACTTGCAACAATTGGCAATAAGCAATGATCCTGACATGCATTATGGTCTCTCCAACCTTCTCCACTGTTCGATGCCTCTTCAGATCGATCTCAATGTGCATTCTCAGCAATCAGAGATCTCTCTCACCAATCTCAAACAGCCTGACTCACTCACCTGCAACCATGTGTTTCGAGTCAAGTCTCTGAGATCTGGACGGCAACAGAGAGGTAGACAGAGAACTTTACAGGATGACGCGAAAGAAGACGACCAAGCGAACGCACTTCCCGTGGCAATTCGCAGCCGGCGACACCCACGGCATGTTGCTTCCTGTGACCCTGCATATCAAATTCAGCTGCACTCCATAACGAAACCACTGAGCTCGCAAGGACAGAGAGAGAGAGAGAGAGAGAGAGAGAGAGAGAGGAGGGTATGTGTATCTGTGAAGCCCAGTCGCTCTCCTACCGATCTATATATGTATCTCGGTCTTCCTTCTTCGGATGCAGCTAATGATGGGAACCTCCGAAGCCGAGATATATTTCCGGCACTTCCATTAAAACCGATGCAGGGCAATTAATGCGGCGTGGGGAGGGAGATGGGAAGGAGGCAGGCAAACGGGATGGATACGTGTGTGCGCGCACGCGGCCGCCCCCGCCCGCTTCTTCCCCCTTCATTGCGCGTGATGCTCCTCCATCCAACGCACGAAAAGTCGTCGCCTTTTCTCGCCCCATCGCTTCCACGACTACCGTCGGATCGTTGGGGAGAAGCACACAGGTCGGGGAGGGATTGGAAAGCGGCCGTCGGATGGAGCGTGACGGCGGATTGGCCCTCATCATGGGGTGGTGGCGTCGGGGAGCAGGAAAAGGCCACCATCATTTGGTCTGGGTGATGCTGCCGCCGCTGTTGCTGCTGCCATCATCGTGTGGTCTGGGTTTTGGGTGGGATTCAAGGGGGGTGGGGAAGGGTTCCATGGTGTGTGGGGTTGATGGTGGGGATGAGGGGATCGAGGGACAGCGGGGATGCCCGAGCACGCGTGGGGGCAGCTGCGTTCGCAGGTAAGTAGACCAGCTCATTTCCTTGCCATGATCTCCTTCTTCTCCCCTCCCCTTCATGATGACAGAGGGATCCCTTTCGTTATGGGTTTTGTGTTTCTTTTGGCGTCCCCAAAACTTTCACCCCACAGGCCTACTCATCCTGACGTGGGGCCCACAGTGAGGTTCGCATGATCTCACCTCACCTCACCCGGAAGCTTGTGCGGATGGTGACGCTCGCATGACCTCGCCTCACCTGTGGGACCCTCGTGTCGAGACGTCACGCAGCAGGAGGGGTAGCAGTATGGGGTGCGTGTCTCTGGTGCGCGTAGCGGAACATCTTTTCTAGCTTAAATGGGCTGGCATGTTTGTGGCCCACGAAGAGCTCGATAGAGCCCAATTTCCCACACATGAAGAGAGAAAAGATACATATTTCTCACTCACACACACACACACTACATCTATATATATATATATATATATTAAAATTTTTACTAAGTAAGCTAATTGATGTATTAAAAACTTTATTGAATAAGATTTCATAACATTAATCTAATGTGAGTCAAATACATAATCATCAAATTAATGTGTTAGATCTAAAATTTTATATATTGGGATTTCATATCTTTAACTTAGGAATAATTGAGTTTGGCACGTCATCACTAGATTAATATTTTAGGTATAGAATTATAAAATAGGGTTTCAGACCATTAATCTAAAGTAATGAAGTTTATACACCAATACCATACTAATAATTTATGTGTGAAAATTTGTAGAGTAATATTTCAATTCCTCAATATAAACTAAGTGAATCAGGTATATGTTCCTTCAAAAATATATATGTTAATTGTATATATTCGTCGAAAACTAATAATTTTTGTCCTTGCCCCTCTAAATTATAAATTTAAGTTTAATATATGATATGAATTAATTATAGAACTACTAATTTGCCTTTAATGATTGTATAGTCTCCTTGAAGATAGCTATTGTGAGTGTGTTGGATTCATTGGCTCAAAGGAATACTAGATCTTCAAGGGCATGTGTTGTATGTTTAAAGTAGTGTTCGACAACCTATTGTCCACATACATGGAATGGAGTTAGTGAGCAAGCAAGAATAATGATAAGGCTGCTCTAATCACATGCATGCTATGGAGAGTTTCTCATTGTTAATAATGATATCTCAGTGTGAGATATGTAAGTCTAACAGTATGTATCTCATCTCATTGTTACTATGGTTAATTTTTCAATAAATTTCTCTCTTTCATTCTTTCAATGTACTTTAGATATGTTTTCTAGAGTTTGTCATTTACTATCCTATTTCCATCTTGCATTTCTTAGATATTTCATTCGTTAGATACAGTTTCTAGAGTTTTGTCATTCTTTCCATTTCCATCTTGCATCAATAGGTTATGTGAAGATTAATGATCTTGTATGTATATTAATTTTCCTTGGTTTACTTGATATGTAATACATCTTCCATACTTGTGCTATATTTCCTATTATTTGCTATAATATTATTGTCCTACATTTTCACTTGTAACACATTAGATAATGTTGGTGGTGACTAAGCTAGTTGGTCATGATTCATGATATATAGATAAATATGGTCTCATTCTCTATTCAATACTTGATATATATGTTGTCAAATGTATTTGTGATAATTCCTTTTCATATTTCATTCCTATATTTTAAATAATAAAATAAAAATCCCCATCAGAATCCACCACTGAAAGTGGATATGTTCAATGTCACTTGTATGAGGAGAACAATAATATTGGAAGATTGTGACTTGCAAGAATCTTGGTGGTGTCAACTATCATGTTGCCAAGTTGATAGTAGTTATTTCTTTTGTTGTCTCAATTTTAGTTAGAGATTCAACTTTTGGATGTGGAATTCTAACAATATTAAAATGTCAATTTTATTTAGGTTTTTGCTATGATTATAGAGAGGTGTGTGAAAAATTTCTGAATTTTTCATTAATAATTTTAATGCAAATTTTGTCTTATGGGATAATTGACTTGTTAAGTTCATTGAGCTTGACCCAAAATACTTCGATTTATAGTAGTTTATGATATGATATTTTATATTTTATACTCAAATAATTATTTTCTTTCTTCTATTTTGCACTCAAATGAGTAGTGTTATAAAAATGGTTAGCTTAATAGTGTCACTTGTCACACTTAAAATATTAGTATGTTGATGATATATGGAGTGTGTTATACATCAATACGTAAATTTATAATTAAAATATTAGTATAATAAATTTACTTTTGTTACATATGAATAATAAAGTATAGCTTAATCTCGAGCTCGAATATTATCTTCACTATTTATCTTTTATAAAAATAAAAATAATTAATTTATTTGATAAAGACCTTATTGAGATAGACCCATCGAACCGAGTATTTCAGTATCTTTTGTCAGGAAGAAATCAAAAAATTAATTTGATGATATATCCGACTCACTATTTTATAAATCTTTCAGGTATTAGTTAATTAAAATAGTAACAAAAATTGTTCTTATTTTATAAATTATATAATTAAATAATATTATTTGTTGATTTATCTGACTCACTGTTTTATACATTTTCAAGGCATTAGTTAATTTAATTAGTAAATATTTTGTTTGAAGATTTTTTTCAGATCATTCTAAATAAAAATTAAAATAAAACAAACAACGAGAAAGTTTGTTGTAACGGCCGTACGACTCCTTTGCCGTCTCCGCAGTCGCCGACGGTTCCCTCGAGCTGTGGGAGGCCTCGCTGCCGTCTTCCGCGAACCCGGTCTGCTCCTTACGAGAGCACTCACGCAAGGCCCACGAGGTGGACTGGAATCCCGTCCGCCGCGACTCCTTCCTCTCCGCCTCTTGGGATGACTCCCTCATGTTCCGGGCTCTCTTCCGTGAGCTCTCCTACTGCGGTCTACGCCGGTGCACGAAGCCGCCGCCACGTCGATGTCTTCGCTTCCGCCTCTAACGACCTCGCCTGCCTCCACCCTCCTCCTCCTTGCTCGCGACCGCGGGACTCTCCCATGCGATTGGAACAAGTACTCCGAGTACTGCCCTAATCGTGAGGTACGATTCCCGGTCGGAATCGACACGAGTGTGCTGGTCGACGAACGAGTTTGTTTATGCCTGGCCACACGGACCGACCCCAGAGCGATGCCTTGGGCTGTCTTCTTGATTCCCATTTCTTGTGAGAGAGAAGCTGTGGAATGATGGTTTGCTTATGTAGGTTTGTTGCTGATTTGTGAAGCTTAATAGAAGATAATAAAAGGGATGAAGACGAGGCCATCACCAACCACATTAGGTATGCAAATCTTTGTCTTTACACTAGAGAAGAACAACTGGGCATAATTTTAATGTGATAGATTGTCTCTTCTCCTAGAAATTCAGATTATGTTATGTATTTTATTATTGAGTCTTTATTCTATGGTGCTGCTGATTTTTAGAAGCTATGACGTTAGGGATTTCGGTAAATTATTGAGAAGCTTGGTCTCTAGACTCTACATGGTAGTCTTTATTAGATTCTCAAACATCCAAAAAAAATATGCTTGTAATGATCTTCAGGTGTGTGTTCCATCTGCTCTTTTCATTCACTTATCATTTTCCTATAACTCATTATGTTAAGCGATTTAAACATGTCGAAAAATGTGTTACAGTAACTTAGGTATCTTCTCTTCTTTTAGCCACTACGAAGTAAGGTTCTTAATCTCATATGGTACTGGTGTACTGAGCTTTGCTCGGTACGGTATGGTATGGTATAGTATGGCATACTGAGTGGTACCGGCGTACTGAGCTTTGCTCAGGACGGTATGGTATGGTATGGCGTACTGAGCGGTACGCCTAAAATAGGTATAAAACCCTCCTAAAATACTTAAAAAATAAAAAAAAGTTAGGATAGAGTTTTTAAGTTAGAAATAAATATACATTTAGTATAGTTTTAGCAAAACTAATGTAAATTAGGTAAGAATAGTGTCACATATTTTTTCAAGCTTTGAGTGGCCTTGTGTAAGGTTCGTAATTTTGGTCCTCCTTTCGTTAATATTGAATTAACTACAGAAAAATTATTTGAATTGTTAGATTATTTTGTATACAACTTAAACTTTAAGATTCAAATGAATTAAGTAATCACATATGTAGATATACATGATTCTATTACCAAAACGAACGATGGACCTCCACAGGTAGTGGATTGAGGTCCTCGATCCTATGTATCTATATATCTATATGATATGTTTGTCGGACCCAATCCTAAAGTTGATTCCACGACATAGTGTATTGATACACCGTATCCCATTGGTGCATCAATGTGGTGATGGTCGTAGGTTGATCGTCATGAATCACATATGTCCGAGGCGACTCCTAAAGCTTGTATTTGTCGTACATATACTGATGCTCTAGTGATGCACGAATACCAACTGTGAGATCCGAGTCAATTTCATCATCGTAACCCTCATTCTCGTCATAAACTAGTACCTGTGTAGCCATACAGTATATTCTTCCTCAGCTCGTCTTCTTTTTTATTGTATCTTCTCTTACTTGTTGTAACTTGTTTTGAAATGATTTACGGATCTCCGTCGGAACCTTCTTGCATTTTGCAACATTGGGATACTCGTCGGCCAAATGCATCTTCACCCGAGTGATTCCTTCACTCTTGCCAACGGTCAAAATCGGTC